TAGCAGATTGTAGCAACGTAGAGTATAGCAGCGTAGACTTGTAACAACCAGTAGATATGACGTAGTCGCAGATTCGTTGTGTAACTCTGGCTTTATTATATAATAAACTCGAACACATACAAAATATATACATAATACTACATACAACAGCCTAGGTTGTTGCAAACAAGGAAATATGTTGCAGATGAATTGCAGATACCTCCGGCATCTAAACAAGGTATAGTCACGCGAAGGCATATTAACATTCGTATCATGCAGCTTCTCATCTGCTGGGAGAATCAAACAATCCTTGAATGTGCTCGGTGTTTGTGCTATATAGTAAAAATGTCAAAAGTCGTTAGGAAAACCTGTATTTTGTGTTCATCCGGAGGAACGAGATAACATTCACATAACATATTCTTCCGTTTGATCATACTTGTATGCGTGTGCACATGGATGAGCATCTGATCTGATCCAATTTAAATTCTGTTTCAACGTATAACGTGGTTTAACTCGATCCTCAGAGTACCAGGTCACGGGATTCGAAAATCCTCATGCTCATATGTTTTGCTTGCGAGAGTGTTTTTCGACTTTTCTTTTCGTCACGAACTCAGTTAAGCTTGTCGTCTGTGTAGTTTCTAAGCCTGTGCTTTGCACGTGTAAGGCGTGTAGCAGACGATTTGTGTGTGCATTTGTGCGCATGTGCGTTGTGTACACACACTCCTCCTGTTCACACACGACTGCGCCCAAACACATTCTCCCCTTTTCAATATCCTACCTAAACTGCCTTAATATATTGATCACACTGAAACTGACAGGCAATCTACGCTAGTTCATATATACTCTTGCTCAACCATAACAATTTATATAAATAATTACTGATTACAAAAAAATGCCAGTGAATGCATGGAAGGAAAGGGTCGATTTTGAACTGGTATATATTGCCCCTCTTTATCCCTCTTCTTCCATCTCCCTCTCCCTCTCTCTTTCTCGCTCTCTCCACCTCGATCCCTTTCTCATAACAAACAGGAGTAAAATGCATCTAGGCAATGCTGCAGTGGAAAACACTTTTTAAAACCCGTCACCACTTTAATGTAATGAGCATGTTCCCCAATTTAGGAGCCGTTTTTTTCCCAAAGGAAATCACATTATCGTTGTTTAACTCGTTATTACTAAAAACCACATTCATTTATTGACCGCGTTCGCGGAATCACCTACATGCATCTTCATTCTACCTTCACCTTTATAACCTTCTTTCACCCAACTTCACTTTCAACGTCCACCTTCCACCTTAACTTCCTTCACCTACTTTCAGACGGGGTCGAGGAAGACTTACACGATGGGCACTGGATTCGCCGTGAATGAATTAATTAAATTTAAAAAATGTAAAAATGTAAAAAATTAATAAACGATTGGTCGGAATCACTTACTTTCAGACGGGGTCGGGGAAGACTTACACGATGGGCACTGGATTCGCTGTAAATGAATGAATTAAATTAAAAAAATGGGTAAAAATTAAAAAAATAAATATACGATTGGTCGGAATCACCTACTTTCAGACGGGGTCAGGGAAGACTTACACGATGGGCACTGGATTCGCCGTGAATGAATTAATTAAATAAAAGAAAATTAAAAATAAATAAATGATTGGTCGGAATCACCTACTTTCAGACGGGGTCAGGGAAGACTTACACGATGGGCACTGGATTCGATGTGAGCATCGCCGAACAGGAGGAGCTTGGCATCGTTCCGCGCGCCGTCCACCACCTCTTCGACGGCATCGAGCAACGACGTCTACAGGCTATCAAGCACGGCGAGGCTCCGCCCGAGTTCAAAGTTCACGCAGAGTTTCTGGAGGTTCGTATTTTTGAGGTTTCGCAGATTGTCAGATTAGCCGAGGATTCGCAGAGGCGTTTTGCAGGCAGGAGACGTTTTCTGCTTTGTGCACATTCTGCTCGATACAGTTTCTTACAGCCATGTTTTTCTTATTTTTCCATTCAGTTTTATAATGATGAGTCCTTTTCCATCATGCACATTCTGCTCAGTACAGTTCTTTACAGCCATGTTTTCTCTTTTTTCCATTCAGCTTTATAATGAAGACATCATTGATCTGTTTGACCCATCAAGAGATGATAAGGTACGTATTTTGTATTGTCTCCGTTTGCTATGTCTGTATTTGTGTGTGTCGGTGTGCGTGTATCTGTAGACACACGTACGCAGTTATAATACATATGATATCCTCACCGACGTTTGGGAGTATGGTCATCCGTGGTCTGACATATGACGACTGTGATCGATGTGGTCTAATATATGACGACTGATGTGTGTCTGTGTACGTGTGTCTGTAGACACATCTACGCAGTTATAATACATATCTTCACCGTTCAGGAGTATTGTCATCCGTGGTCAAATATATAAAATTACACATCACTAGAGCGTGTACCTATACTATATTCAGGATGAAATAATAATATACATTTATTTACTCCTGATTACCTCCGATACTCTGTTATATACTCTTTATATATCCAATAATCTCATCCTCTCTGAGGACAATAGGTGGTGAAGTATATTTCACACTGAAGAATGATACCGTAATGGGGTGTTACGTGCTTCAAGAGTTCAGTGTTCCCCATTTTTTCTGAAAGTAAATACAACCTTCGTCCTTCATGGTCAGTACAAATTCAGGTGGGAGACACTTTATCTTAGTCGTAGACACTGGATGGCAAACGAGTTTTCGACAAGGAAGTATTACACGCGCTGCATGCTAAACGATTTTATATTAGAGGAGATTTTCGTGCCATTAAACTATCGTTAGCAGACACTTTCGTTGCGTTTTGACAATTTGAAATAGAGACCGTATGTGTGTGTGTGCCGATGTTAGTGTCAACGTGATGTATACCTACCTATATCTGTCCGACTGTATGACACATACACCTGATGTGTACACCACACACAGATGTGTGTGACACATACACCCGTCTCTAAGTTCTAACGGTACGCGTGCAGGTTCATAACAAATTTACATGTACATGCACTGTGCCAAACGATGCTGGACATATGCTAATTGTATTTGCAAGGTGATCCTATTAGCATAACTCCAGTCTCAAATCTCTAGCAAATGACATTGGCTATATCACTGCAGTAGATTCGGGGCATGGAAATAAAGTCAGAGTACTGCACAGATTCGTCCGCATTGTTGAAAATATGTGACCCGCTCCAGCAAAACCAGGATTGAGTAAGAAATTCTACAAATTGAGTTATGTGCATATCTGAATAGATCATAGATCATTTAATTACCTTTAAAATGATATATAATATTTGGTTGTATATCTAACGAATTGACCAATCTACAGCAATTTGAAGATCGGAAACCGACTTATTCCGGAATATGCAGCTTTTGAGATAAAGCGTTCCGGTTAAGGAGCCCAGTCGGGGATGAGCGACCCCCTAAAAAAAATTTTCCCATTTTTTTAAATTAAAAATGACCATAATAATCTAGAGACATCTGAACCTATATATCCGGAAAAAATATGCACTTAGGAACTTATTTTTGTAAAAATCTCATTTTTGTCCAGGTAGGCCATCATGTGTGCGTGCTCATTACTCAAAACAATGAGTAATTGCGACTTAGTCCGTATTATGCTGGAGCGGGTCACATATGACAGATGGTCCCTAATAAAATACTCAAAATCGCTTTACTTCCGCCCCATAAAAACGTGACGATCGTTGGTAGCTTAATTGCAGAAAGAAACAATTTCTAATTAATTAGACCATTGTTGGCCGACCATCATTCAGTTCAGCAAGGCAATGATTGAAAAGTAAGCCGACAGCAATGTCAACAGCTGGAGAGGTTCGTTAGGCGTAATTGCAGAAAATGTGTTACACATACAGCGTCATTAGTAATTAATTACCACTGCACAATGGACCAGGTAAATAAAAACCAAGATAATTAATGATAATTGATGCAGAAGTAATTCGAGGTGACGTATTGAAGCCATCAAATGAATAGGAAGGGATATTGTTTGCAACGTCGTATTGTTTGCAATATCACTATGTTCAAATACTCTAAGTATCAATCAAGCATTTGTTTGATTTGATGATGCCCAATAAGTTGTGTAATTCAACAAAAATAACCGGTTAATTACGTGTACATGACTATATTAGGTGTGCAGTAGATGGGATATTTACTCGCCTATTTTTATGTATAGGTTACTGATATACATTTTGCTAACGAGATCATGTAAGCTTGGCCTAATATCGGCATGTCTACTCTGTGAAATATTATACTGCCTATACAACATTGCTTCTGCAATACCTGGAGTATGTTATGAAGTCACCCGTAAGATAGACAAAGAACGAGAGAGAGGGGGAGGCAGCCAGAGAGAGAGAGAGAGAGAGAGAGAGAGAGAGAGAGAGAGAGAGAGAGAGAGAGAGAGAGAGAGAGAGAGAGAGAGAGAGAGAGAGAGAGAGAGAGAGAGAGAGAGAGAGAGAGAGAG